CAACAACAACAACAACAACAACAACAACAACAACAACAACAACAACAACAACAACAACAACAACAACAACAACAACAACAACAACAACAACACATTTCATTTCATACACAACCCTCACCACCTTCGGCCTTGAGCTCCTTCGTGCTCTTCTCCCTGCCCTTCTGTTCGCCGGAGTAGTGGGCGCGGCCTGTGTGAGGAGGGGGCGACGTTGAAGGGGCATAGCTGAAAAAACAGATGCCACCAAACCAAGAGAAACCGTGGAGGTTTGAATTCTAGAACATCTAGCAGCAGCAGCAACAGCACCATCCTTAACAACCACAGCAACCAACACCATCTCCATCTCACCCTTTGATGCCGGGGTGGAAAAGTCGCCCGAGCGCCCAACCTCCAGTCCCGCGGCCTTCTTGTCATGTTTCGCTAAGTTCTTATAGCCGGAAAATGAGCACCCGACCAGAAACGTCAAAAAGAACGGACCAGTCCCGCAGTAGTCCCGGTTGTTGATCATGACGGTAAAAAACACTCCGCTGCGCGACTTCTTCGGGGTTGTCTCGACGAGAGACACCTTGCTTCCAACCTTCGCGATTCCGATGGCGTTTCCGAAGAGCCACAGACCCTGCTTGAACAGCGTGTCCCTGAGGTGCCGACCGAAACGATTTATGTAGCGTTGGGGCAGCACGTGAGACAAGGGTGTGCAAGCTGGTCCTGTCGGTAAGTGGGAATCTAACCTAACCAACGACTACGCGCGCGTAGAGAGCGCGCCCCGCAGAGCGAACAATAAACATGGGTGTCCTCACTTGCGGCCCATGATGGCCACCACGTCCCACAGCGGGAGAGCCATCGTGGACTCGACGTGGGTGGTGTCGGCCGCCTCGGTCCTCACGCGCTCGTCTTCCGCTAAACCGACCTCGACAATCCGTGTCGCACCCCGCCTACCAGAACCCGCCGACTGTGCCCCACCGAAAACACGTCCGTCGTGGTAAGCCCGCGTCTTCGCGTCGGACAACCTCCCGCTGTAGTCGGTGTCCTCCCCGCCACCGGTGTCGTGCACCATATCCACCACCCACAAAGGCGACGGCTTGTTGCTGTCGTCGACGAAGAGGTGGGAGAACTGCGGGTCGCGAGCTTCGGGGAGCCGGTCCACCATCTTCTCCTGCACGGCGGGCGACTCTTTCTCAAGCGCGGACGCGAGGAAGATGAACTTGTGTGCCGGACTGCCGTACGGCTCCTTGGCCTGCATGAGAGCCTTGACGGCAGTGGATTTATCAGTGCGCATGAACTGTGGGACGCCTTTCTTGCCGCCGCGAACGACCCCTGGGACGGGGGGATCTTCGACGCCGTCGGTGGTCGCCGGGAACTCGTGGCGCCTGCTGTACAAGTCGAGTGCAGCCTCGTATCGAGATGTCGGAATGACGATCACAGTGCCTCCGTTCCCCCCCACCGATGTGCTCCGAAAAGCCACCTCGCCGGGTCTTCCCGAGATGTTCTTCGCCACGAAGTTCGAAGCGGAGAATGGGTGGGTTGCCACTGCATACATCGCGGGTGAAAGAAAGTGGGGCGGCCCATTATTTCAAAACGTCTCAGAAGAAAAATGTAGATGTCTTGCTGATCGAGTGCATTGGTTGCGCTCGGGTAGAGGTGCCAATGGAACAAAACTATCATCGACGACGCCGGAAAAGGACCATTCTTTGCTATACTCACAGTCAACGGTGCCTCCTCGGCGCCTTCGTCCGACCCCTCGACAAGCATGGACGTGTCATCGAAGAAATCGACCTCGCCGCTCTCGTCGGCACGACCGCGTTTCCTCGACTGCATGGTAAATGCACGCGTGAAATCGAGAGAAGCACAGCACCGTCGACAGCACCGCGTGACGACGGCGGTCTTGTAGGTATCGCCTACGTGTCAATCACCGTTGGTTCTCAGCGATGCATTAATCATACCAAGACCGAGAGGCGGAAACAGGGGGCATGACACAACTTCCCCGAAATTCGAAACCCCGCCCTGGAGCAACTACTTTGACGTGTCTCTATGATAACCTTGATATCGAAAAATGGAATAAAGGGGGAGGGGAGGAAACGCGCACAACAAGCAGGTGGGTGACACACGGCCTCGCTGGCGTGTACGGGGATTCATCGACCATGGAAGGCAAGACATATACTTGCCCTTTCTGCTAATTTGGTGCTGTAAGCGATGGTCATCGTTTGCTCGGGTTAGAAGGGGAGGGAGGGGAATAGAGTGGAACCAGGGGGGGGCTTGCTTGCGCCTGAGAGAATCGCAGAGGGAAGTCGAAAAAAAGAGGCGTTCCAACTTGTACTAGCGAATTCGTTCTTCGGTGTATGGCCGTGTAGCATCTGTTCGCCGAGAAGACCTTATCACCAGACAAAACGGTATTAGCGTCTGCCGCAGAATTGGTGGTCAGATCTACATGGATAAGGCTTGTGCCTCTCGTAAAGTGGTCGGCGACCCACAGAGACGGCAACAATACGAGTAGCATTCACCTCGCTCGACGATCTCGGCGCAGCCTTCTCGGGGCTGTTGACCTGTAGCGGGACCATCGCTCCCGTTGTTTGCGGGGCTCGAGGAGGGCTGGCGGTCTCTGGAGCGTTGAACGCGGGTGCGCAACAAGACGACGCCGCGGGAAGTGAATCGAACAAACAGAACATTCTGCGTGCATTGTAGTCAATTTCATGGTGGAACGAACGCCTGCCGGGGCGTAAATGATCGAGGTACGGGGTGATCGATCGAATATCGGGAGCTACGGGTGTTGCTGGATGAAACCATGAAACCGCAGAAACTCGAAAGGTACACCATTTGATCTCCAAAGCGGACCAAATGGACAGTGCGGGCAGTTGGTGTGGGGGAGCATCGAGTATTATTCAAAATAACGCGGGCTGTGCTGTTGTGGGTTCTTCGTCCAAATACGCACCTTCAAGAATGAGCCGATGCCCGGTGTGCCCTTGCGGGACTCTCTAAGCTGGGTCTTGGAAAATCTCACCATCTTCCCGCAAGATCTGCCAAACAAAGACCACGGGAACAATGAAGGCGTAAAGTTCGGATGATGTTTCAATGCGTACGAGGGTCGGTGTTTCAGCTCCCCAGCCGATTTGATCAACCTCAGTTGATCACCCCGTGTTTAAGCCAAGGCTAGGACTACCCTAACGTCTGGACCATGAAGCTGGCGCTCGGAGCTTGGATCGTGCTTGGTGTCTCCCTGTTCATTCCTCTTTGAGTGCAGACATGTTACACGCAAACTCCGCCCTCTGACCGCAAGGTGACTCCATACTGGCAGACTTTCCTTGGCTGCTTTGACCATATTTTCAAGCAGAGTGTTGGTGAGGCAGTCTGAGTCTTCACCTCAGGATCTCTCGCCGGCTATGACGCTCCAGGGATGCGTGCGCTCTCCCGCGGGGTGGACCGGGTCACAGGCTCACAGGCTGCTGTATGTCACACGAATCGGTTTAAACCATTTCACAACAAGAGGGAGCAAGCGCGCTTGTTCTTCGCCAGCCGGCCAGAGGAGAGAACATGTACACATATCGGTACACGTGGGAAGGCTCTTCTCTCGCCTGCATCAAGCGATACCGAAGTCCACCCCGTCTGCTGTCGTGAGACTCAACATTTTGAATTTGGTGAAAGCAGACCTAACGGCTGGGAACATACGACTTATGTTGGAGACGTGATCAAAGTCAAACAATACAACGTGCAAGACACACATTGAGGGCAACTCATCGCCCCAATCACCGCAATACCTACCTCTCTTGGTTTATCGGTGATGTGTGTTTGGCTTTTGTCATCCAAGTTTGAAGGAGCCGAGTTTCCAATCACGATGTTGTACTCCGTATTTCAAATTTCAACTCAAAAAATGGGTTCAGTTTTCAAAAAAGGTTCACGAGGCATGTTTTGGGTCGCTGTTTTCGAAACTGCCAGTTTTATTTCCTTTTCGTACATGTGTGTATGTTTTTGCCTGTGTGTTTACAAGTCGCACGTGTACGGACAGCCTGGTGCTCCTTGTACACCAACGGTAGCTGGTGGTAGCTGGTGTGTGATGAAAACGCAAGAGAGAGAGAGAGGTTGAGGGAGTCCTCAACCAGGGTGAGAGAGAGAGGGGGACGGGAGGATGTGGTTGTGAGCGTGTGGCGACGATTGTTTCCCGCACAAGATTAAGATTGTTCCCTGCTGTGTGTGCCTCTCTTTATATTTTCCAAAGGCCGTCCGTCGTCGTGTGGGTGCGACAAAAAAAATCACAAGAAGAGGGGCGGGGATGGTGGGTTCAACACCACCCAGCGTAGGGTGGATCGTAGCAGCCAGGAGTAAATGCGTTCGTCCAGGGAACGAATGACTGGCTGTATCCGTCCGTGTGGACTGCGATTCCCGTGAAAGTCTGCCGTCATCAACAGTCCAAATCAGCCGGTCCAATCAGTCGTCCACGGCGAATTTGAATTTTTTGAATTTCCCCAAGAGGTGACGTCATGACCGTGACTGACGTCATCGGTCGACCATTTCCTTTCAAAAAAATTGGCCAATCAGAAAACTGCGGGGGCCTTCTCTCTCTCTCTCGATTACTCCGTGTGGTGAAGACGCGATTGTATCGTAGAAAATGTCTCTTCTCCTGTGAGGGCAGGATGCAGTTGTGAGCGTGTGGGTGTTTTCTGGCGGCGATTCTTTCCCGTCAAGATTTGTCGCAGCTCTCTTTTTTTTTTCAAAGACCGTCCGTCCGTCGTGTGGGTGCGAAAAAACAAACACAAGACAGGGGGCGAGGATGGTGGGTTCAATACCACCCAGCCTAGAGTGGATCGGCTTTGCAAAGGCTGCCGGAAGGAGCCGATCGAATTTTTTCGCCGAATCGGAGTGATGTTCTTCACTGCAGGTCATGTGCCTCTCACCCCGTTTCCACGTTCACGGAAACATGGTATTGCTCGTTTCGGACGCGAGCTTCAAGGTCTAATTACCATTTGATTGTCGCCATTACCGAAGGCAATTGTTTCCTTATTTGGTTGGGTGTTTATTCAATGAAAACGTTGTCAGAAACCTTGGACATACAAAATGGTTGTTCCACCACCCAATTCCACATGATGACATTTCGGGTTCCGCGCTGAACGCTGAACATTTCCGGCACATGTGAACCGTTGGTCATAATTCGACCCGACCGAAAAACAGGAAGAAGCGCGACCGTACGAAACATTTCGTCCAGAAGCTCAAGGGCAGGATGCAAAGTTGCCTTCAACAGAATGGAGCGAGGTGCTTCCGAGGTGTTGTTGTTGTGTTGTTGTCTTCTCTGTACCCAGTACCTCCTTCTGGCTGTACTACCCTAACACTTGAGGCGATCGATTCCCGTGGTTACAGGCTAACTTTCCCAAAAAAGGTGAAAACAAGACAAATTTAACAGTGTGAACTCGACGCACCCCGAAGTCAACAAAACTCAATCGACAGATAGTCTAGGACACTCCGTTTGCCTATACACGCATTGTGACGTACCCATTTACTGGAAAAATGAAAGGATACGAAAAAAAATAAGAAGAGTGGGGGAGGTGAATGACGTGCTACACATCAACATGCAGCAATCAGCAGCGCTAGCGCTGCAACAGCCCAAGTGAACGATCGATGTCCGTGGAGTAGAACGTATGGTTCCTTTTGCCTAAACCACCCATCCGTGGTGCTCTCACTCGCTCTGGATACATGTATGCACCGAACGATGATGGTGCGATGCACATCTATACCTGTGAACGAAGACAGATCCGCAGTAAAATTATGACAACTTCACTCAAGCTGCCGTTGGTTGCAGTAGGTGGTTACCACACCGAAAGAAATCGACAGCCTGCTGCAGATACGGTACTCGATGTCCCGCATGTGTCACTGTTTTGGGCGCGTCATCATTGGAGACTAGCGATCGTGTGAAGGCTATGGTAAACGACTGGAAAATATATATGCATACGACATTTGCATACAAAGATTGAAGGAGTCTTTGGTAATCCTTGTTCAACGATGGTCCTCACTCGGTTCTACGCATATCATGTTCGTTCGTGAAACGTTCTCCATCGGCAAAAAGATGAAGAACGTGCTGTCATACATGTCGCGACTCTAACTACAGCTTGAAATTCCCGCCGTTTTTCGGTGCGCTGGTGGAAAAGAGTTTGACTTCAATATTTTCACAGTACTACGATGGACGATGGTATGGCACCAGTACTCGATGTCCCGCATGTGTCACTGTTTTGGGCGCGTGATCATTGGAGACTAGCGATCGTGTGAAGGCTATGGTAAACGACTGGAAAATATATATGCATACGACATTTGCATACAAAGATTGAAGGAGTCTTTGGTAATCCTTGTTCAACGATGGTCCTCACTCGGTTCTACGCATATCATGTTCGTTCGTGAAACGTTCTCCATCGGCAAAAAGATGAAGAACGTGCTGTCATACATGTCGCGACTCTAACTACAGCTTGAAATTCCCGCCGTTTTTCGGTGCGCTGGTGGAAAAGAGTTTGACTTCAATATTTTCACAGTGCTACGATGGACGATGGTATGGCACCAGCTATGAATCATCACGCCCCCGTCCTTTCGCTGTTCATATTTTCCTTTCTATCCATCCAGGTAAGGCACAGTCTTGCTGGTCCATGCCGTGCCAGACACCGCAAGGAGACGCGTACTCCAGTCGTCGAGGTGGATACACAGGTGGTAGCGTAGTGGATGACTGGTCGCTGCTTGTTGGTGCTGTCGGCTCAAGACAAGCCTCCTGCTCTCCTGATCAAGCTGAGCGTCTTGTCGGGCTGAATGTGTATGGCGTGCACGATTTCCTCTGTGATAATGCGTGCAAAGGGCAGTGAGCAGGAATGCAGACGTTGGGGGCTGGGGAAGTCAAACTGGATGATGTACTGCGCGCTCCCTTCATCCTCGAATGAATCAACGGTAGCGTTCGGGAATGAACCAACAACGTTCGCAAACCACGAAAAGATGTACGGGATAGAAATATTTCCAGTCAGCGGATGGAGGTCGAATACCTATCTACAAAGTACCCGTCTTACCGGCGTCCTTGATATGTTACATGCCAATCCGTCCGTGTGAAAGACGTAGCCCTAGCCTAAATCTTCCGTACCACTCGAGCTAGCGGGTGAAGTCGATATAATGTCGTACCGCCAACAAGAAACGACCGGGTAACTTGACGAGCACCACTCATAAAGAGTAAACTTGGAGGTATACGAGGTTCCAGTCCAAAGGTCTAATGTAAAGAATATCGCAAAAACAGCAAGGGACCAAGTGTACCACCGCGGAGCTCTCGAGGATGACGTAGAAAACACCTTTCCAGGACTCACCCGTGTCTGTGAGCTTGCTGCCGACTTGGTCGACGATATGACTGCGCACCACCTGGAAATGCTGCCGCATGCAATCTCCCAGCAGCTTCACTCGCGCTTGCACCTTCGCAGCCTCCTCGTACTTCTGCTTTCGGGAATGCAAAGCGCGTGACAGAAGTTTCACCTAATATTTTTCAATCGCTCAACCTCAGTGATACCGTCCATGTCTTTCTGGGTCGTTAGCGGTTCGGAGCTCCAAGGGAAGAACGAACGTGCTAAAAAATGCCTTCCAACCACCAGTCTATTGCCTGGCTGGCCAGTCATTCAGATAGTGCTTGCACTTAACAACGGGGGTTGAGAACCTCTCGTTCAGGCCGAGGCTGGCGTCCTGGTTTCACTCGTGGGCTGCATAACAGTGGATGCTACATAATTCTTGCAGTAGAGGTTCTCAAGTGTGCGGGCGCTTTCTTTAAAGAGAACATTGTCCACGAACATCAGCCTAACGTACGGTACCTCGCTGAGGGAGTTGACGGCCTCCTTCATGGCGTTTTCCTGCTCTTCCATGAGAACCGAGGCGAGGTGGTCTTCCTCCTCAAGAGCCGCGTGCAGAGACCCCAACGTGGACCTATGCGATTTCGTATTCGGCAAAGCTTCGCGGATGTGTGAGATTCCAGGGCTTGTTGCGCAAGAGATGGCAAGTTCCCACTCGACCTTCCGTCCCTAGCTGATGTCTCGGCATGTCGGAAGCTTCACGTACCGGATTTCAACACTTTTCTACACGGTTATTGGTTCTATCCGATCATTTGTTGCCCGGCCCTACTTCGTAGTTTACTATGTTATAACCTGAGCTCGGTGGCAAGCTTGTTCTGGCCGGCCCTGGCTTCGTCCACTCTCTTGGACGCATTCCTTCGGACCCCAGCGGCCACGGCTTTGGCTTTCGCTGAGCGACGTGAAAAAATAATGAATGTGGATATGCACAGACGACATCAAGTTTATGAGTCTGCCCCTTTCAGGGCACTTTGCATAGCCTACCTGAAAGCCCACCTGAAAATATCAGATTTCTTACGACAATGACTAGTTGAGATCCTTGCTATGCATGAGGCGCCCGAAGCAGGAACGACCTTCTTTCCAACAGGGCTAGAAGTGGATTTTTGGTTTGAGTGCAAGACGATGACTTCACTGGGCTTGCGATTGACCGCTGTTGTCTTGGCTCCTGAAAGAGAGCAACATACTTTTCTGCCCGTAACCCCACCTGAAATCTCGCCTTTCTGGCGTCTGTTTTCTTTGCTCTGCTTCACCCTCTGCATCTGCTGCAGAAGCTGTATCATCTGCCGAACATGGAGCAGACGCGTAGGAAATGGGTGGGAATGGAGTGGAGCGCGATGATTCATTCAGCGTGCAATATTACGCTGTTGTTGTTTCACTTAATTCCAAGCTAGTACATCGGGTTCGTGCCAGTGACTGGTGGATTAGCAAAGGTGCGCGCATAGAAGCACCATCAGGTTCGATGGATCCCTGGAGAGGCTTTCTTGTGCCAGAGTATCAGCTAGAGATGTCCCTGCTGGTGGTCTTCATCAAAATGATATCACCGCACATTTGCCCCTAAAACATCATGGCAAGTACAGCAGCAGCAAGTAGTGTAGATTGTATTGTAGTGTGGGATCCCCTTATACAGATAGAATGAGATTGTGTAGCGATTCTCCTAGAACACGAAAAATCCTGGTGGATGCTTTCGAGAGCGCAAGCCTGCATGACACCGAGAACGGAGACCATTGCAGCAGGCATCCTGTCTGCAGTGAGATCTACGGGTAGTGAACAAGGCAGCAGCATACACATAGACTACAAAGCAATTATTGACCTGAGCTTCCTCGCGCGGATCCTCGTCATCGTCTGAGGAAAAAGCGGTGTCTGCTACTCTCTTCTTCGCGCTTGTCTTCTTGCCGCTCCCTATGCTACCGAGATCCAGCTGCGAGAGCTTAAATGGGGTTGGCGGTTTGGCGATAGTGCTATCGCTGATGGCACCGTCGGCAGGCTGCTGGTTGTCCAGCATCGATAGCAGAGGCATCCTGCAGCAAATAATTGTTGCCAACGTCGTCAGATAACCTACACACCTAGAGAGTTTCAAAGACATCTCCACTTAGTGTAGCCTAGACATTGCTTGATCCGTCGCTCAGAGTCCCTAGTGCAAATAAAGGGAGATACAAGCACCCCTGAGGTCGTTCCATGTGTCTTCGAACTCTGGACAAACAGTACTGTACTGTACTGTAGTCTACATCGCCGATGCGACAGAGGGTTAAAACTTTCAGCACACAGATTAGCCTCGTAGGACCTGAGCCCCAAAACAGTTGGGCAATACTGACCGCGGCATCTCCATCCTTTCTTGCGGCTGCAATCGGTTTGGCGAGGGAGAGTGGAGAGGTGTGCTTGATCTGCCCGAGTTGCGTTGGTTGGACTAACGTAGAACGGGTGTTCCAGATCTTTGTTTGGGATGTCTGCCCTCGCGAGATATTTCTATTGTTAATTTCGCCGCGGTGATATTGATGTGACACGTCTCCCGTGACACCCACAACCACAGCAGACACCGCTCTACACACAGCTACAATGTCTGCCGACAAACGCGCGCTCGATGACCTGGATGCCTTGTTCCGCGCTGTGCCAGCCGAGGCAACGGCGTCTAGCTCTCGGCCTGCCAAGAAGGTCAAGGTTCGATCGGCGGCAATCGCGGCAGCAGCAAGCAGCAGAGGCAACAGCAGCAGTGCTTCTGCGTCGAGCGGCGGCGGGGCCAAACGGGGTGAGACATTAAACAGATCATATTTTAACACGCAAAGGGGGTGGGGAACATGTTTTTGGATTCGCCGCTATTGGTGTGATGCTGGGGTAGTGCGTGACCAGCTGCTTGCAATGGCCAAGAAGCTGAGGCGATCGTCTGGCCTGTGTTGGCATCCCTACCGGGAGGCAGGTTAGCTGGTACCTAAATACCAGCGTGGACACGTCCGAGCTTTCGTGGCTTGCTATTGGGGGGCATCAATAAAGCGGTCTTGAGTGTGTGGGGAAACACTGATTGAGTCTACGGTCTACGGAAACGCAACGTGCAGCGTGCCATATGTTGCCTAAGATACCACACCCCCTGGACCGATTTCATGCGCATTTTACAGCAACAATAACAACAGCAGTTCCGGTTTCGGTAATGGCTGAGCATGGGACCCCATCTCGTCGAGAGCTTTCCAAAAACGCATCATTTGGTTATTGACATCCTCTTCGTCATGGAGTAATCGAGCTTTTGATGGCGGCCCAGGGGGTGTGGTATCCCACGCAACCTGGTGTTTGCTTGTTACATTTTCTTGTCTGCCCCGCCGTCTGCAGCATGGATGTACTGTAAAACGACCGCAAAACCCATGGTTTGTGGACTGTCGTGGGACGGCCGCTCGTGCGCCACTGAAAGCGGTGGAAAGTGCTCCACGCTGAAGTCTGGGTGTTTGAACCTAATTGGAGACGTCGCACCGACCAAACCGAAAACTTGAGGGAAGCCACAGCCTTTCGAGTTTTGACGTTTGAGAGGTTTATGACGTGAAAGACTGACGGTTCGGCGAATTGTGACATGAACGGATTTCCGCCGCCTTAACTTCGTCGATTTTTGGCTGTACTTATGTTTTCAACGTGCGTCCAACACAAACGCCCGCGAAACGATTGACGGTCAACCCTCATCTTAAAACAAACTACCGTCGCCGAAAAGGAGAGTCGCCAACAGCCGGCGCATCTACCTCTCCCACTGAGTGGTACTCCTAGGTGGTACAGTAGTCCACATCTTGGCGACAACTCGCGACCTCTCGGCGATGCGTTGCGCGGAGTCGCTCGTTTCGAAAGTTGCGCAGATGCTGGGATTGCGCTTGTGCTTGCCGCAGCGCCAGGGTTGCGGCAGTTTTCGGGTCTGTCCCGCCCCCGAAGGGAGCACAGATAGATTCGTTAGGCAGGGCATGCGGAATTGGCCGGTAGCCGTAGGCGCATCTCGCCCACGCCGGGGTTGGGGTTGGCACTGGGTCGTACCACAGCGGACGACGAAAACGTCGTCTGCGGACGGGGAGAGCGACACCACTGCAAGCAGCGCTCCCCAGCTACAGCAGTCCTTCGATGCCCGTCCTGTCGTCTCCACGCCAAAGGAGGTTCGACTGGAGGAATGACGGGGAGGGATGCCCCGTGTCTCCTGTGATAAGTCGCTACAGCACGTCCACCCCTTTGGGAGTCCGAAGCAGCCGGGAGTCGACATCGCCGGCTTCGGTACGACGCCGAAGAAGGATGACAGCGTGGACGAGGGCGGTGACAAGGGTCCAGGTGGCGATGGTGAAGACAAGGAATTTGGAGACACCCTCTCGGGGCAGGGGCAAATAGCAGGTGAGGATTGACTACAGGATCGCACAGACTTGTAGTAGTGCGGGATGGCGAACCACTGTGTTTGGTCTGAAGGCGCAGGATGAGCTCGTGACGTTTCTGTTGTGAAGTGGCCAGGCCAAACCCCTGAGCTGACGGAGCATGTAGGATGTTCTGGTGGGTTTTTGATTCGGTAATCACGTGTTGCTTGCCAGTGAGGTCCTGGAAGGGTGTGTCGGTACGCCACCGCGATAACGAGACGAGATGCAAATCCTCCAGCCCCTCACACCGACGTGTGTTGGGGGAGCAAGGCCACGAAAGCCTGCTGCACGGAGGTTGCCAAGAGGGTTCTTGTGCCAGACAGAAGTGAGGGTCACGAAGGGCGGTGTGGAGGCGGTTCATCATGTGAATCAAAGGAAAAATACTGGTGAGTCAGGTTCGGGATGCATCTGGCACTGCTAGTGCGAAAATAGTGGAAGATGCCTCCCGAACCTGACTGACGTGGGCCGTCTCCACACTGACCTCCGTGACCCTTACGTCTGTAGCCACAAGCACCTTCTCTGCAACCTCCTTCCAGTAGGCTTTATCGGCCTTGTTCTCCCGAATTCCTTCCGGTGTGGGCTCCCCTCCCATACATCGGGGTCAAACAACAATAAATATTTATTCCGCACGAAGCACGAAAAGAAGAGTCGGAGAGACACAAAAGAAGAGTCGGAGAGACATCAAAGTAAGCGTAGATAGATGTGGATGGAGCCTACACCACCAAGAAGGTCACCAGTGCGCACGCTCACACTCACCCGATACCACCTGTCAGTCAGGGGATGAATGGGAGCGCTGTTTAGCTCTCATCATCATCAGCTCAGCGGCAGCAGTGCTGCTGCTGCTGCTGCTGCTGCTGCTTGCTGTTGCTGCCGCCTCTGCTGCTGTGCATGGGTGCGCAGTTGCTTTCTTCGCTTTCGCTACTAGCAATGGGTAACGGGCTTTAAGAATTGGCCCGGACCCCTCCCACGACGTGCGTATTTGGCCACCCTTGGCTTTCAGCGCTGTGTCCGTCTCACTCGTCTCTGTTTCCGGGGAGCGCCTGTTGTGGAAGCAAAGATCGGCTGGCAGACGAAGAGACCACAGACAGAGTTCTGACTTGAGTACACCCGCATGTTTCCTTGCTTACGTGGCTAGCAGTAGGCCTCGGGGTCTACAAATAGCTTCCGACGCCAACCATGATGTGTGCCTTTGGCCGGCCTTGGCCTACAGCAGTGTAGGCCTCGTTTTCCCTTTTGTGGGGATGTGTCTGTGCGGGAAGCTCCAAAGATCGGTAGGTTGAGGGTGATGCAGACCGACCGCGGATTGGCCTGCGTCGTCACTTGCTTGTGCTGCCGACAGCAGGCAATGGGCTGCAAGAGTCATACCCAACGCCTCTCATGATGTGTGCCTTTGGCTGGCCTTGGCCTACAGTAGTCCGTATTCTGCTGTGCTGGTTGTCTCGTATGTTGTCTACGTGATGTGTATGGTGCTGCGTGCAAGAGGCTTTGGGTGATTCCGCCGAGAGCGTCGTGCCCCGACCAATCATCTGTCTCTGTCTTACAAAATGTCTTACAAACTCGACGGGTGATTGGTGGGAGCTGGGCATCTACCCGGCTCTACTCCTCTAAAACATAAGTGATTGTTGGAAGTTCTTCCGTGTCTTACACACAAAATTGCCCTATTTATGGGTGCTCTACCCCGGTGTGAGGGCCTGGAGGATCTGCGTCATACATGTAGGACGAGGCCACAGGTTTGGTCACCGGGAAGGAAGTACCACTGCCTCATGAAAAATTCCCACCCGTTCCCCTACAGGTTTCACGCATCAAAAATAGGACGACCGTTACACAGCTCCCTCCATCCTTGCCGCTTTTGTATTTATGACACTTGACAGCACATGAAAGATGTAACTTGTGGAAGGAAGTGCAACGATACGAGTCGCGAAACAATTCCACGTCACCACAATTGTTCGCCCGCCGGCGTTGTTTTAGAGTAAGGACGATGTCTCGTTCCAATGCGCCAGTGTGCCAGCTTTCGCCAACGTCCAGCGATGATCGGGCAATGTTGCTCCTGCCTGTTCGTGTTTTTCTGCGGCTAGGGCTTCTTTTTGCCAAAGCATGGTTGCTTGCGGCAAATACTACGGTTGATTATTGCAACATCAGCACTAGCACAGATGTACTGCTTCCACAGCCCACGAGCCCCTCCTCCTCACTAGCTGTGTGATTAGTGCTGTGTGTGGTCGAGCAGCGATTTATGTGTGAATGTGTGGTGCCCTCTAGAGCTTTGTCACTAGTACCTTCTGGGCGAGACATGCGCCGACACAGGAAGCAGTTACCTGGACTTCACCCTCCGGCCCCCACCCACTCGTTTTCGTCCTTCATCATGCTCATCAGGATGCCGTTGTCGTTGACAAGATCGTGCAAACCTGCCAGCGCCTATTTCGAGATGCAAAATTGCTAGCCTCGAAGGATGAGAAGGAGGCACCCAATGAAGCAGGCGAAGGACTGTGGACGGGCGAAGGTACTACTGTGAACCCCGAAAGCCCAGCGAGCTGTCAATGCGGAGCTCGTTGGTGAGTTGGCGTGTTGGTTTGCGGTACGAACGGCCGGTGTGCCTGTGTTTCCGACAGTGTTTGTTGTTTTCGCTTTGTGTGTCGCTCCTGACTCGTAGGATATTGGCCCCTTGTCCTAGCCCTTGAATTTCGCTGCACCCTCGTGTACATTCATTTTTCTGTTTCTGTTGGATGTGTATGTTGTTCTCCCCCGCATGCCCTTCATGCATGGTTGGTGAGTGTGATATCGTTGTCTTTGTTACCTCGAAGTGGTCGTTCTGTACTTCTGACCTGTGTATTCCGCACGTAGGATATGAGTTCCAATGTTTTGGTTTAGCTACCGTCTTGTCGGTCGTGGGTGTGTAGTTGTTCGCTACGCATTGCCAACCTCTATTGGCGTTTTTCTTGCATGTCTTGGCGGCGGGCTAGACTGTGAGGGACGAGCTAAGATGCGAAGGGGAAGAACGGCAAGTGCGGGATTAGC